TCGACTATCCGGTCTACAGGATCGGTCGGATCGGTTATGTAATTTCCAACGGCCACGACAAGAAGGTTCTCATGTCGTGCCGCCTTCTCAAAGTGGCGCAAGTTGATACTAACTAACTCTTCATGTACGTGTTTAATGAAACATGTTTTTCTATGGCCTTTGTGACCAGATGGTGAGTGGTTATCGTCGCCAGTAGACGCCAGCACTGCCCTCGCATTGATCCAATTGATTTTAAAACTCTGCAATTTAAGTGTTTTCGCACTGGAATTTATAAGGAAGGATTTTGACACGTATTTTAGTTCACAACGGTGTATTATCTGATACAATATCATGAATCCTATATAGATAGCGTTTTGTGGTAATTTCTCACACAGCCCATTAGCATTTTTCTCTTTGATTTTTTGTCTCAACTAAAAATAGGTTACTGGTACATTTACTGGTGGTAGAACCTATTGTGAGTCCGCGCGAGTAGGTACCACAACCCTGCCTTTCTGCCGTGAAGCAGTAATGCGTTTCGGTTTGAAGGGTGGGGCAGCCGTTGTAACTATACTTGTGACCTTAGAACTTATATCTCAAGGTGGGTGGCGCATTTACGTTGTAGATGTCTATGCGCTCCACCCATCTTAGCAAAAAAAAAAAATTGGTCATATATTTTACGAACCTATAACGCCGCACAAAACTGAAATGAATACCTATCGACTTAATTCAACAAACGATTTAACTGTAAAATACCACATCTAAAAATCTCATTTTATTATGTAATCCAAGGTAAACAGCAGACGCTAATCTACTTAAACAATGTACTAATGAATTGGACGAATTCTGCGAATTGCGCTCGAAGAGGGGAGAGCCGCCAAATTTCTCCGAATAGAACATTAACGAGCCAAATAGCCTTTTCATTTTGACTTACTATGAATTTTACTTACATTTTGACAGCTATGATATTGCACCTTTAAAATTAAAGTGGCTTTGCTAAAAAAAATTGAGATGATATTAAAATATTAACAATTTGTTTAAAGTTAAAAATTATTATATTTTAGTTAAATAAGAATAAAGTACACTTTCCATCTCTTTTAAATCAAGCGCTTCAACACTAAAAGTATTAAAATCAAAATTGAAAAATTAGGCGTTTACAAAAAAAAAACAAGAATTTTGGATTAAGCCACATCAATTCTAAAAGTGCAATATGAAGCACTCAGATGAACCTCATATTTATATTTATTATATTACCAATAATTGATAGCCATTCACTTAGTTATATCTCCGTGACCAGGTATAACCAGGTAAACTTATAATCAGCTGGGCCGTGAGCTTATTGACCAATCCAAGCAACGCTAAAGACTGATCTGACGAAACATGTTTATACCTTAAAACGAAGTTCACGGACTGCGATTCCAATTATACAAAAATGGATCGTTGCCGACTAGTTTAAATAAACTATAATAAACATACAGTCACCTCGAGATAATTGTGGATATAAAGCCACAAAGTTAGAATGTGTTGAACACACAACCAAAAATATAACGGAACGTTTAAGTCGAATTTCAACTTCCTAACCGCAACGTGACAGGTGTCAAACTGACAGCCCGTCAAGCGAAGTTTGACAAGCTATGACGGCCATTGTTAGAGGGCATTGCCATTGCACACCCGTTGCATCAGAATCAGATGTATAGATTACGTAATTAGAGTCATAAAGTCGGATATCGAATTAAGCGATTTCTTTAAGTGATTGATCTAAAAAGAAAAAAATATAATTGTTTTGTGTCGCATTTCTAGAAATGAATCGAAGTATCTATTAAATTAATACGTGAAGCAAAAACTTTGTATCCCTTTTTACGAAAATTGCGCGGACGGAGGAGTATGAAATTTTCCACACTTATAGAGAATATAGAGAAGAAGCACACAATGCTAATATTTTTTTTAAATAATGCATAAAAGATACATTAAATCAATAAAGAAAACACTACACACACTACATACCATGTATTTGACGCACACACGCATGCATACTATTTATTGTCAAACTTTTGTTCTGTCTGTTGTCAAATAGAGAATAGATTAAATATTGTTTGTCATTGTTAATATATTTTATAGTGTAGTCTTGGCGAAATTTGTGATTATAGAAGTATAAAATACAATCTTATTAGTGTATAAACTTACAATTCAATTAATTGTAGTCGAATTTCGACTACTGCGGGACCCCTAGTTGTTACTAACTTGATAATCTTTAAGTTTTCTTCGTCAGTTTATTTCTAGTTTAAAGTATCAGCGTTTATTTTTTCCTTGCCATAAATGATCACAATGACACACAGACAATGACACTATGCTGGTCTCGAACCACAGAGATTAAAATAGAAGAAATTTCGACCCAATTTATTATACACATTTCTCGTTTTAAAACATTCGATAAGATATCGTTTTTAGGTTCATCGATCGATCATTTCACTGCCTACGTGGGAAAAATATCTAGATTTTATCGTCACGAGAATCTAGATCCCTTTTACAATCTAACCGGCTAAAAGTGTTATGCACCGTAGGCAGTGAACGTAAATAGAAAAAAATCTTAATAACAAAGGCTTAATAACAACCTCTAAATTAACAGAATATCTTATTTATTGTTATTTTGACTCAAAACAGATTATGCGTTACATGCATTTAAAAGTAATCAAATAAAAATCTCTGAAGTATACAGTAAAAAAAATAACAAATAAAAAATAAAATATTCCTATTCTGTTAAAAATAGTTGAATACCTAATTACATTATTTAAGGTTTTAAAATAACTAGAAATGACAATTATTCTGTTTGGACTCGAATTCTCAAGGTCAGATCCAATCAATATTGTCAAGAAAAAAACAGGTTACTGATCTCAATGCGTCACACAAGGTTTGTTCTCTCTGTTTACTTATTAATCTACACCTCTAGTGTAGGTACAGTATACACAGTGATTATCTGTAGGTAGAACTATTTTGGCGGGAATGCGAACTGTCAAGATATGTCAATTGTTGAATTTTATTATTTTAGTGTCTCTTAAGTTGAAATGTGTATTAATGTATCCAAATCAAGGCTCAAACACCCGACGACAATGCAAAAAGCAGTGGCAGGCGGCTAGTTTTAAAATTAATATCTGTATTTTGATACCTTAATGCACTGATTGTATTACTTCAAATTAAACTATGAAAAAAATATTGTAATCCACACCCATCACAATAACCTACAATTTATCAATCTCGTTTTTGGTTTCATAATAAGATCAATTGCAATATTCAAAGTGTTAGTGCGTTTCAAATATAAGCCGAAATATCTCTTGTGAGTCCGCACTGGTGGGTACCACCACACCGCCTATTCCTGCCGTGAAGCAGCAATGCGTTTCGGTTTGAAGGGTGGGGTGCCGTTGTAACTATACTGAGACATTAGAACTTATATCTCATGGTGGGTGGCGCATTTACGTTGTAGATGTCTATGGGCTCTAGGGATCACTTAACACCAGGTGGGATGTGAGCTCGTCCACCCATCCACCCATCTAAGTAATAAGAAAGACATGTGGTGTCGTGGGACACCGGATAGGAACGAAGTTCCTAATAAAAATAAAAGAATTACTAGAAAAAAATCGCACGGTGAAATATGGCTGTGCGGAAAACAAGGCCTTAATCCACGGACTTTTTCTTACTATCACATTTTTTTTCAGTTCGGTCGCGCAGCAAAATCCCTATCTCCACCAAGCCTGCCGTAAGGAAATTCGTTCCAAAAAATAAAATTAAATTACAAGCAACAAGACTGTTTTTCTGCAGAAATTGCTTCCGGGATATGCAATTTTCTCTTTTAGCAAATGACTCACGAACTTTCCAGATATTTTAATGTAAACAGTACGAAATTAATCTATCTAAACAGTGTCTGGAAGTCTAGAAAATAAGCTGTGAATAATAACTCTGGGTAGCTAATTTAAGAATCTAGACGGTACGGCCGTAGTCTGGGCGTGAAAGATTCGTAGGTGTTTTTTTTGAAGGTTATTTCAGCACTGGCAACCGTTAAATAATAAATATTCTAAGAACGTCTTGCTTTTAGTAGAGCCAAACATCCAAAAAAAGGTCTCTGTCATCTGCCAAGAACGTGTTACAAACTTCTTTGGACACATCATGCGGTCTCCCAGACATGAATTAGAGAAGCTCATAATTTTGGGTCGCATCTAAGGCGAGCGCGCCGTGGACAGACAGAACACCAGCCAGATTTGGTGGTAAGAACTCTTGTGAGTCCGCACGGGTAGGTAACACCACCCCGCCTATTTCTGCCGTGAAGCAGTAATGCGTTTCGGTTTGAAGGGCGGGGCAGCCGTTGTGACTCATCCCCAGGGGAGGGCGGAAGTCCGGCGATTTCCTCGTTGTGACTATACTAAGACCTTAGAACTTATATCTCAAGCTGGGTGGCCCATTTACGTTGTAGATGTCTATGGGCTCCAGTAACCACTTAATCAGGTGGGCTGTGAGCTCGTCCACCCATATAAGCAATAAAAAAAAATGGTCAATGCGGATGGAGAGCGGTTGAATGTAGTCTGTACCGTGTGGTCCATGCCACCCATGATGGCACACTATGGAGGAAAGTCAGATGTGGTCACGATCCTCAGCAGTGAGAGAACGATGAAGAAAGTAGGTGACCAGACACTAGTTCACCTAGTAGTAAGTTTTTACCGGAGCTTATAAAAATTAATAGGCGAATATCTCCACCTATATTTGAGACCAGCCGTACTCGCCGCCTTCGCTGGGCATTTAAAATTAATATTATTATTTATTGTCCTTATTATTAGGGAGTCCAAGACTCATATATAAATATTAGCCTATCCATTAAGTACATGTATTTTCTACATGGATACCAAGTTTCAAGTCAATCGGATGCATGGTTCAGTAGTTATAACGGAACATCCGTAAACACCACTGTAGATTTATATATTAGTATAGATAGATATGAGACGGCCTTAATATTATTGTATCATAAAACCAAAACTTACCTGAACATTGTGACATCGCCGCTAGCTCCAAGAACATTATGAACATCGCCAATCTCCTTACTTCCATCTTGATATTTCACAGAATAAGCACTCGAAAAATTTTACTATAAAATACACTGATTCTACACTTTCACACAAGGCACTTTTAATCTTCGTTAGTTAGTTTAGGCACTTCTCGATAGATCTGTGAATGAAAATAGATAAATTAATAACTGACAGGTGACGAACGCATGAGACTGTGTCTGTTGAAAAGTGCTTAAATCGGCACTTGGTTTTATACTATTAAGAATTGAAGTGAACAGCGTGAATAATTTATTTTAAACATCAGCACTTTGTAAGTATTGTAAAGTTGAATTGTCGAATTCTTACACAGATCTGATCCTTATACAGAAAAGCACAATTAAAATGCATAATAATTATTATGTAAGAGAAGATCTTCATACGATCACAACAAAAAAAAAATTACAAATTTATATTACAATAAAAAAATATATCTGTGGTTCGAAAACGCCAAGAAATTTGTATATTAAAAGTAAACTATTACATTGGAAAAGGCACATTTTTAATTCCCTTAACACCATAGATATATTTTTAATTTATTTGGCATTTAAAAATAATAATTTATTACGTAAACTTTTTAATGTAGATTAGACACGTTCAGTTTCACACAAAAAAATATATATAATATTAAAATTAAATCGTGCGTTTTTTCTTCTTCGGAGCGGTTCATAGTACTTTAATGGTCATAAATAATTGATTATCAAATGTACTGGTAATTACGCAAATTATAATTTTTCGGGTTTGATTTTTATTACACGATGTTATTCCTTAACCGTCGAAGTCAATCCTGAACATTTATTAAGCACTATATCATTAAAAAAATTGGTACCCGCCTGCGGGATTCGAACACGGGTGCATCGCTAGACACGAATGCACCGGACGTCTTATCCTTTAGGCCACGACGCCTAACAGCCTGGTGTTAAGTGGTCACCGTAGCTCATAGGCATCAACAACGTAAACCTTGAAATATGAGTTCTAAATTATTAGTTTTTACAGCACAAATACACTTACAATTGAAACGTGTCTAAAACATAAAAGAACGCTACTTTCTTAGATAATATTATCTTGCAATAAGGGTCAGTTCACCCGTGCTCTATCGGCTCTACGTGGCGGTTCTGTCACGTCCCTAATAGGGCTGTCACGTCCCGTATAGAAGGATATTAGTTTATATTTTTTTTCGTGATATATGTTACAATAAATACAGATTATAAACTATAAATACTCTGTGTGTGTTGATCTATGTTGATCTAAACTTTTTACTACGCCAATCGATAAAGCTCTCGTGAATTTTATTATATTGAAACTTTTTCACTTTCGTTGACATTCGCGACAGGTAGACGCAATTAAAACTAATTTTACGATTCGTTATCATCACTATATTGTTTCTGTCATCCGTGGCCACGAAAAGTGTAAAGTTTACGAACGTGGGTAGCTTAAATTGTGAGTGAATACGGTTCGCGAAAACAGAAGCCGAAAACCGAAAACCGAAAGCCGAAAATACTGTAATTTTATATCCCAACAAAGGCGGTGCTTGTTTTTTGACATTATTAAACCATAAAGCATACGCTTTGCTTGTCTTGCAACAATATGACGGCTCTAGCATAATTGGCAAAACACCATTGACGTATCCAAGACTTATGACGTCAGCGCCTGACCTGTGAGCACTTAGATCAGCATCATACATTGCGCCCCCACAATTGAGCCGTACTGAAGATAAACTTGAAATAACAGAACAACAAACAAGAATCCGTTCACGGCTTAAATCTTACACGTAGATCGGTTTCAACTCGTCAATCTCAATAAGGTTTCTATAATTAAACAGATTAAGCGGGTAGGTTACACAGGAAGCGCGTACTTACACGAACGTAAGAGTAAAAATAGATTATTAAAAATTTATTGATACGCGCCCGGTTCGGCTTCCTGTTCCTTTGAAGTTTGCCTTATTAAATATATCGTTTCTCGATCGCTCATTATTGTCGAGCGTACAGGAATTCGGATTTGATAGAGAAATATATATATCGACGCTTGAAAGGCAAACGTGACTAAGCGACAATAACTGCTTTGTACATAAATGATAGGCAATAACCGTATTCGATGCGCAAAAAAAAATTATTTCTAGGTCTATTAAAATCATTTCAATCCTACAGCTACTAGCTAGATTCTACTACAGCTAGATTCGTTAAAATATTTTTTCTTCTTCAGGTATTTCAAGATTAAATTAGTCTACTGTAAAGTTCACGCATTGTCGCTTAGACACGTTTGCCTTTCAAGCGTCGATATATATATTATTCACGTGTAAAAGTTGGCGACGTCACCATTAACGGTGCTTTTAGGTACCTCAAGCACCGGTCACCGTCCTCGCCGAACCCGTTGCTTGCGACGAAGAGCTCAACGAGCGAATTAACCCATAGACACTGCCCACTGAGTTTCTCGCCGGATCTTCTCAGTGGGTCATGTTCCTATCCGGTGGTAGATTCTGCGAAGCACTGCTCTTGCTAGGGCCAATGTTAGTTTGAGCCCCGTGAGCTCACCTACACATTAAGGTGAAGCTGAAATAGCCTCTCAAGGCTATCGGCATAGGTAGGAGAAAAAAAACGATTGGAACCGGCTGGACGTAGACCACGACCGGCCATTATGGTGAAGCTTAGACGAGGCTTTAGTCCCGCATTGCACGTTCCAGAGCTGATGATGATGTAGTGCATTAACAGATTTGAAATCCAACCAAGTCGTCGTGGCCTACTGGATAAGACGCCCGGTGCGTTCTTATCGAGTGATACGACTGTTCCGGTATTCAAATCCCGCAGGCAGGCATCGAATTTCCATTAAAACACCACCACCCTGCCTATTTTTGCGGTGAGGCATCAATATGTTACGGTAAAACTGAGATTTCGATTTCGTGGTTTAACGCGGGTAGCGACATTCACATTGTGCATGTCTATGGGCTCCAATAACCACTTAACATCAGGTGAGCAGAGAGCTCGTCCCCCGATCTAAGCAATAAAAGATCATTTTCACCAACGACTAAAGTTATTAGTCGACGGTACATTATTTTATTGGCTACCGTCTAATAAGTACAATATAAACTTATCTCTTAACAAAGACCACGTTAACTGTAACTTCGGAAAGAGTAAAAATTGAATTAAACAAACAATAGATTAAGATCGCAACAAAACTAAGGTTTTCTCCTGCTATTTTCATTTACGGAGGCAAATCTCAAATAATCTAATAAACAATAGGAATAGGAATAGAATCTAATTAACAACAATTTAACAATAGGATAGTGATTTTTTTCCTAAGCCTTATGACCCGTAAAAAATTAGCGGTAGGCAGCGGCTTGGCTCTGCCCCTGGCATTGCTGAAGTCCATGGACGACGGTAATCACTCACCATCAGGTGGGCCGTATGCTCGTCTGCCTACGGAGGCAATAAAAAAAATGAAAAATAAAAACATAGAAACAAACAGAACACGCAACACTATTTCAATCGTAAAATAGATCGGTTCTTGCAAATAATAGAAACGCGTCCTTCTATGATCGATTCAATGATTCACATCACTGATCTATCCACTGATCCGGATAATGTTATCGACCTTGCTATTGTCGGAGCTCATTATGTATATTGATTATGTCATTATCTATTTGAATCTAATCCCGTTGTGTGCAGAGAGTTTTAATGCAAAATAAAAAAAAAAAAAAAACAGACTTAAAAAAAACGAGGGTGATTTAAACAACACGACTGGATTACAACTTCTTAGCTCCATACACTATATACATATATGAGTATGTGCGATACAGACTTGCACTGTTTCTTAGATATACGAAATGTAACTGCCTTTGAGAGAAAAAAAGAAAATGTGCGATCGCACCTCTCTCTCTTTCTATCTTCACTAACTTATATCTCCCTCTCAACTTCCCTACGTCTCGCCCGATCACATTTTTCGTAACGCTCTCGTCACGCATTCACCAGCTTTCTCCCCAAGTCGAGGGTACGTAAGGAAGTTTTACTTCCAAACGAGCACTAGCTTTAAAATAAGAAAAAAAAAAGTATCATTAAAATTTCTTTTTGGCTCAAACAAAAGTTTTAAGGTACACAAACATAAAAAATACAGTCGAATTGAAAATATTTTTTGAAGTCGGCTAAAAAAATAGAATAGATAAACAATTTAACAATAGGATAGTGATGTTTTTCTTTAAGCCTTATGACCCGTAAAAATTTCGCAAGTACATACTTCGATTAGGTAAATCATGACGCCAAGAAACCTCATTCTCCTCCAATTGGTTAGATTTCTAAGAAAATACGTGACTTTTCATGAACTAGCTAGTAGCGTTTTGTATAATTGAAACATTACACACCGTATATAGTGAGTGACTTTGTCACGAAATCACGAACGCGTCACGTATTTTGGTCACGTTTCGTTGGAAGAATTTCATTGGAGTCCGAGTGATTTTGTATCAGATTTAATAGATCTAAAGGGTTTTACTGAGTCTTAAAATGTCAATGTAAAATAAAATATCAAATGTTAAATGGCGCTTTTTTTTTTTTTCTACCTAAACTGAGAGCCTTGAGAGGCTATTTCAGAGTAACCCTAACGTTTGTAGGTGAGCTCACGGGGCTCAAACCTGATGACGTTGCTAACACGAACCCTAGCAAGAGTCGTGCTTCGCAGAATCTACCACCGGATCGGAAACGCGACCCACTGAGAAGATCCGGCGAGAAACTCAGTGGGCTGTGTCTGGGAGTTAATATACTCGTCGAGCCCTTCGTCGCAAGCGACGGGTTCGACGAGAACGGTGACCGGGACCTTGTCAAATGGCGCATGTTTTCTTCTTCCATACTATTCTATCATATACCATTTCTTCGCTCACTCCCCTCTTACCCATATCGTTTTTCACGCAATCCATCCATTTCTTCTTAGGTCTACCCCTTCCTCTATATCCTTCCACATTCGTAGTTAACACTCTCTTACCAACCTCATTTTCATTTCGTCTCATCACATGTCCATACCATCCCAAGCGCGTACTTCTCAGCTTCTCTGTCACAGGTGCCACTTTCAGACTTCCTCCAACATATTCATTCCGTATTTTGTCCATTCTCGTTACTACACACATCCATCGCAACATTCGCA